GGTTTGGTGTTTTCCTTTCAGATGGGCTCTCCCAAACCAAGACAAGCAGTCAGGTGAGTCAAACCTTGATCCCTGCTCCCAACTCATGGAATATTTCTCCTGCCTGGGGTGACCTGGACAGGGAACCCCTGAGGCTGAGCACAAGGAATTCCCTCTCCTTTTCCTTTGTCCTGGGTAGAAAGCAAAGGTGATGCTCCTTGGGGAGCTCTGGGTTCCTGTTGTGGGATTTGCTGCCTTCAGGACAATCCCTCACGCAGAGAATCCCAGATTTGATGGGACTTTAAATCCCACCTCATTCCAGCCCCTGCCATGGGAAGAATTTTCCTTGGGAGCTGCAAGTCCTCCTGAATGCTGCATGCTCCAAGGCACAGCCCATGAAATTGGCTTTCCCCACGTGTGCTGCTGCTGCTGGTTTTGTAGATTCCTGGGTTCCTCGTGTGAGGATGGAAATCCTCATCTCCCCCAGCGCAGGGCACAAAAGGAGCAGGAAAAGCAGGTGCTGAGTGATCCCTCTGAGCTGCCCATCAGCAGGAGAGGATTTGAGATGGGCCAGAGAGGGAAGGAGGGCTTAAAGAAAGAGATGGATTTCCTGCATCCAAATCAAGGAACAACCAGGAAAAAAAAAAAAAAAAAAAAAAGAAAACCTCACCAAGTTTAATCCTGTCCCAGACAAGGTCAGCAGGCACCACACACAAATAGCTCAGGCTTTGATTTGATCTGTCCCTTCCTAAAAGTGGAAGGTGAAAATATTACATCCAGGGAACAGGCAGGGGGGGAAACTGAAGGGAGGAGGGAAAAACAAGGTTGTTTAATGTGGATATATGGATATAATGTGGATATATGGATATAATGTGGATATATGGATATAATGTGGATAGATGGATATAATGTGGATATATGGATATAATGTGGATATATGGATATAATGTGGATATATGGATATAATGTGGATATGTGGATATAATGTGGATATATGGATATAATGTGGATATACGAGCCCAGCGTGCTGGGAGAGCGGGCCCCAGCGTCTGGTGGGTCGGACATTGTTGGATCTGGCAGGGATTCAGACATCTGCCAGGGAAAGGGGCATTTTGTCAGCAGAAGCGGGAGAGGAGAGAAAGGCAGCGAGAGCCTCGCAGCGCTCCCCATCCATCCACCCAGAGAACGCTTCCTCTTTAATAAAAGCTCCCTTCCCAGGCTGGGGCTCCTGTGTTTTATATCCCGCAGCCAGGTCCCCGCCCCAGCCCTCCGCACCCAGCGGCGCCTTTAACCCGTTCGGTTTGGCAGCGCCGTGCGGGGCCGCGCTCAGCGCTGCTGCAATGGTGCCGCAGTGCTGCGTGCTCGGAATGCCAGATGCAGCACGGGGGGAAAGGCCACAAATGTGCCTGCGTTCCCAGTTTACACCAGTCTCCTTAGCAACTTCTCTGATTATTTCATTTTTTTTTTCTCCCCCCCCCCCTTTTTTTTTTTCCGTACGTGTGAGTGCAGCGGCGTTGTCCCAAATCTCCAGCGAATAAAACATTCCCTGAGTTTTTTTCTCAGTGTTGTTTTGCCTTTTCCTTTTGTTAAATTAGTGGCTTCATTTTAATTTTAATTTTATTTTTCCCCTCTCTGTACCCTCGGAGAAGGATGGCAGAGGGGCTGGGGGCACTGGGATAGTTTTTATTGTGACTTGCCCAGAGTTGGTTCCTTTCCAGTTGTTCACATCTCAGCATGTGGAATTATTGTGCTTTCTCCCGATTTGCCACAGCATTGGCACCAGCCTGACATTGTTACTCACTGGAATTGTATTTGGAGCCGGGCTGATTTGCTTTTAATTTTTTTCTTCTTTTTTAAATTTATTTATTTTAATCACCCGCATCTTCTTTCTTTTTTTTTTATTTTTTATTTTTATTTATTTCATTTCATAACAACCCCTTTGATTTTCCAAACAATATATTTAACAGTCTGTAAAATGGAGGAGAGGAGGAAAAAAAACCAAAAACAAAACCAACCCACCAGGGTGAGAGGATTGTGGCAGTCTGTCCCCGAATCCCATATTCCCCTCCCCGTGCCATTTTTTTTTAGTTGCCTCCTGAAGAACCCCCTCCCTCCCCATAGGAGGGAGTGGCCTTGTAGGGATCAAGGTACGTTGGATTATTATTATTTTATTTTTTTTTTCCCCCAGTTTCTGTGATACTTTATTAATAGCACGGGGCAAGAGAGAGGCTGAAGGGTGGGGAGAGCAGGGGAGGAGGGTGGAGAAAAGCAGAGTTCTCCTCCAAGCCCTGTACCTCGAAATAACTCAAGGGGAAAAGAGTTGCAGCCTCACTTGAGTTGTTTCAAAATCTTCCTGGGTGCTTTTACTTTTTCTTTTGCTTCTATTTTTTTTTTTTAAATTATTATTTCCAAGGGGAGGGGGTAGAAAAAGAAAAAAAAAATAAAAAGAAGAAACTGAGCCAAAAAACATTTTGAAGGCTTGATCTTGGCTTCTATACAAACAGATGTTGCCTGTCATTCCGTTGTTAAGCAGGCAGCAGATTGGAGCAAGCAGCAGCAGTTTAGGGGGAACTGCAGCAGAACTGCAAAGTGGGAGATGCAGAAATGCAGAAATATATTTTTCTTTTCTTTTTTTTTTTTTATTTGGTTTTTTTGGTTATGTTTTTTTTTGTTGTTTTTGTTTTTGTTCTACAGGTAGATATTTTTCCCCTGGAATTACCTCTAATTACAACACATCTCTCTTCAATTTTATTTTTTTTTATTCAATTTTTTTTTTTTTTTTTTTTTTTTTTTTTTTTTTTTGTCGTGGGCAAAACAACCCCAAAACCAAATGGAAAAGCAGTAGGAACTTCCACCCAAATGCAGCTAATTTTTTTTTTTTTTAGGGCTGGTTTTGAGAGCTTTTTTTTTTTTGGTTGTTCTTTCTCACACGTGTAGGGAAGGGGGTTCTGTTGGAAATGCTTTGGCATTCTCGGTAAGTGAACGTTTGCCATCACTCAGGTCAGGGATTTCAGGGATTTTGGGGTTTTCCTTGCTGCCAGCCCTGCTCCCGGTGCTGGAGGTGCAGCTGGGGAGCTCCAAGGCCTTTCTGTCTCCTCTCCAGGATTTGGGAAGGCTGCAGGACCAGAACCTCGCTGTTTGTCCTGCAGAATTTCTCCCGGAGCTCTTTTGTGCTCTGCCTGTGGGTTTCATCCCCTCATCCTTTTGATGCCCTCAGATTTTTTCCTCCCTGCTCCCTTTTTCACTTCTCCCCTCTGATTTAATCTTTGCCTGGCTGGGAGAAGAGAGGAAACAGCAAAACTCAGCAGGCTTTGAGCCGAAGGAGTTAAAAGTTTCTTGGCACCAGAGCAGCAGTTTAGCAACAGATCAGTTCATTTAAATGAAAGAAATCACAGCCCCAGCCATCTGATTTTGAAATTTCACATCTTCTGCTTCCACTTTAGAACAAAGCTTCTGTTTTTCCTTTCCCCCTTTTATTAATTCACGCTGCTTTTGTTCTAGACTCGGTGGCTTTGCACAGAAACTTGGGATCGGGCTGGGTTTTCCCTGGAAATGTGAAATTATGGGGGCGCCTCCATCATCTCCTGCACACCCAGCAGCTGCTGGCAGGGCTGGGAACAGCTCCCATTTTTGGGATAAAGGCACCAGAGCCCTGGGAAAAGGAGCAGTGTCCAGCACAGAGCTGAGGAACCGAGCGGGGATTTTCCCTGCCCACATCTGGAGTTTGGGACTCAGGCTGGATTTTCCCATTAAATGTGAAATTATGGGAGTGCCTCCATCACCTCCTGCACACCCAGCAGCTGCTGGCAGGGCTGGGAACAGCTCCCATTTTTGGGATAAAGGCACCTCAGCCCTGGGAAAAGGAGCAGTGTCCAACAGGGAACTGAGGAACCGAGCGGGGATTTTCCCTGCCCACATCTGGAGTTTGTGTCCCTCCAACATCTGCAGCACCAAGTGGTGGCTCAGGGTTCCATAATCCTGCACTTTATGGTGTACACAGAGCATAACCCCCATCATGGTTTCAATATTCCGGCCCAAAAGGATCACAAACAACTTTTTTTGTTGCTGTTTGTTCATTTAAATGCGCTCGAGCCCTGGCACGGGTCCCGGGAGTTTTGTTTCTACGTCAAGGAAAATGAAATAAATCAACTCCTCAGCGGTGGAGTTGGGGATTTAAAAAATAATAATGGTTAAAAAATTAAAAAAAAAATTAATTAATTTAAAAAAATAAAATGTAATAAAGAAAAAAAACCAGGAAAAAAGGGAAAAAATTAAAAAATGATCTATTGATAAATTATTAAAATTAAATTGAGTGGCTTACGCTGAAGGAATGTGTTTGGAGGGAGTTGGGACCAAGAGGCTTTTCCATGGAGCTTCTTCCCAGGGGCATTGCATCCAAGAAAGGCCGGCATGTTTGGGAATGGGTGAATCCTATCACGGAAAAAAGGGGGGAATCCTTCTGCTCCCCAGTCCCACCATCCCTGCACCCCTGGATGAACCCTCAGTGGGGAGGAATGGCCTTGAGGGGATGAGAAATCGAGGTGCTGGTGCTGAGAGGGGGGAGAGGCACCGACCTCCACCTCTGCCGTGGCTGCTGGTGGCTCTGGCTGGGTTTGGGTTTTGCTCTTCCCTGCTCTCCTGGCCAGCGTCGGGAGCCGGCCCGTCCCCCTTCATATTGGGAATATTTCTGTGGGTGTCGTTGTGGTTACATCACAGAGCTCTCCTTCCTCATCTCCATTCTTGTGCAAAATTCAAATAATTCCCCCCCTCCCCGATAGCAGCTGTGCATGGGGTTGGGTTTTTTTTTAGGGTTTTTTTTTTTCTGTTTTTTTTTTTTTAAGTCTCTCTTTAACGTTGCGAAAGGAACAATAAAATGAAAGGCAAAACCGGCATCTTAAAACTTGGCAAGTGAAAGCAGCTTGGACTGGCAGCCAAGAATCCTGCTGTGGTGCAAAAAGAATAGCATCCACGGAGCCACCACAACCCGGGGCTTCTCCTCTTTTCACAATCGCGCCGGCACCGAGAAATAATTATTCCTTGTATCAGTGTTAAAAGAGTCAACAAGCTTCAAAAAGCTTGCTTGGGGAACCTCCTCCAAAGCAGGTAACGATGCTCCTCTTTGATTCTGCTTGCTCCAGCTGGAGTTTTGGGGTGAGGATCTGGAGAGCAGAGCTAATCACTTGCAGGAGTTGGTGCGTGTCGCTGGCTGCCAGGGAAGGCGTTCGCCTCGTCCTCCTTTCTTTCTTTTCCTGAATGGATTTGGTGGGAACAGCACTGGCAAACTTCTGGAGTGGTTGTGTTCCCAGGAATGTTTTATTTCCACGTTTTTGTGGGGGGGGTTGAGCCAAGGTGGAAGACGGGAAATAATCATCCAAAAAACCAATTTGAAAATGAGGATGTTGGGAGGTGGGGAGGCGTTTCTCTCGTAGGAGCTTGGCTGTTCTTTTTTGCTCCTAAAAGCTGTAGCCTCTGCCTGTAGGAAAACAGCATCCATTCCTTGAAAATATGCCATGAAAATATCCATAAATATTTTGTCTTCCAGAATGCGTTCCCGAGGAGTTGGGCCTAGCAATATGGCAGCGCACGTTCCATAGGAAACCCTGCAGAATGCTGCTGAGGTAATTCGGATTCTCAGTCAGTATCTCCCTTTCCTTTCTCATTCCTTAAAATTATTTCGTAAGAAATCCTTAAAAAGTTGCTAGGATAGAGTGCATGTGTGTATGTATGTAAATATATATATATATATATATATATATTTATATATTTATAGGCCTAATTACCTTGGGGTTAAAACTGGGGAGAAAAGAATGGGAATTATTTCACAGTTGTGTTTCTGATTTGCCTGAATTTCGGGGCAGAAGGACGAAATGGCTGCAAACAGCTTTTTGCTCAGGAGCACAATGCATTCCGTGGTGATCGATCTCCCTGGACAGGGCATTTCTGCTTTGTGGTTTGCAAGGAAACCACCCACAGACCAAACCCCAATGTTAGATCTTCAGAGATTTTCTATCCCCATATTTCCATCTACATTCCTTTGGATATAAATCTTTAAAACACCAGCTTTCTATTGGGTTGTTACTGATAAAAATATTCTGTGTTTTTGGCTGTCCCACGTAGCAGAGCCTTGTTGATCCTGTGATCACTGATGTTGTAAAATTAATAATGAAGCAAAGTGTGCTCAGTGTAAGGATCTGAGAAACCTGAATATAAATCCCTTAATGTGCAGGTTGAAACTTTTTATTTGTAATCTCAGCATTCGAGGCAAATTCAGGCTGATGCTGATTGATTTGTTTGCCTCTGATGGATTTTCTGCCACTGTGTGTGTGTTCATCAGGTTTTCACAAGGTACAATAGCTCTGGGATTAATCAATGGGGGGAAACGTTTCCAACCCCACATCTTGGCAAATCCATGGCTCTCTTTCAATCCCCCTGAATATATTGGATACAAGTGAAATTCTTGTTGAAAAAGCAGCTCTCATTTAAAAAAAAAAAAAAAAAATTAAAAATCAGTATTTTTCAACAAACAAAACTGTTGCTTTGCTGCTGCATTTCTCAATTTGCTGCCTTACAGCTTGCCCATGGGTTTGTTTTCCAAAAGGAGCAGGTTGGTTCCTGGGTATTTGCAATTTACAGCCCCCGGGTGCCATGGAATGCCCACCCTGTGCCCCATTGCTCCAGGGCTCTCAGGGGACACAATCAGGGGGACACAATCAAATTGTGCAGGGGGACACAATCAAATTTACAGTGGGAATTTCTTTGGAGCTTTCCCAGGGGTGGCTCTTGCTGCTTTTCTCCCCCTTTTTCTCCCTTTTTTCCCCCCCTCTGGTGATGGATCCCAACTCCCCTCGTTCCCTTTTGTGCTGGAAAAGCCAATCAGGTGGGGAGTGGGAGGTGCAGCAGGAAAAGGGAGGGTTTTCCCAACAAATCCCACATTTCCTGGGGCATGTGCAGGGCTCCTCGAAGCTCTGGCTCTGGGTGTCCCCTCCAGGCAGAGCTGGGGACGCGGGTCCCGTGCAAAAGCCACCCAAATGTCACAGTTTGGGTTTTTTCATGGATTTAACCTGTCCCAGGGAAAGGAGATTGGCCCGGGAATTAATGGAAAAGGAAGAAAATGGTTTTGGAAATAGATAAAGTGAGGAAAATGTAACCTCATGGTGATTTCAGTGAGATCATCTCATATAAAAGAATCAAATGTTTTTCTACCAGAGACATTCAAATTAGCTGACTTCATACCCATAACTGAATGTAAAGAACATTACATGTCAGGTTAAGCTTTTTTTGTTTGACTATCCTATTCTATAACATTTCAAAATCAATATTTATCTCAAAAATTTACATACAAATAGAAACCTTCTATAAAAACCATATAAACCTTCTATTATAAACCATACTATATAAACCTTATACACCATATATACCATATAAACCTTATACACCATACAAACCTTATACACCATACATACCAAACCAAACTTTCTAGAAACCACACCACATAAACCTTCCATTCAACTTTTAAAAATTATTTCCAAATTAATTTCCCACAATCAGGGTGAAAATGAATATACTGAATATAAAGAAACCATCTGATGGTGTTTTTCACAACACAGTGAGGCTGAGGGCAAAATTCCCTTTTCCAGGCAGAAATCCTGGTGCACCCAGCAACAGCTGACCCCAAAATTGCACCTTTAGGCCCTGTTGGACAACCTGGATTTTAACCTCAGGTTCCCTGCAATAAATGAGCTTTGTGCTGGAGGCTTGGGGTTATTTTTGGCTGGGTAACATTTGTTGTGTTCCATTTGCAGCTCTGTTCCCAAGGAGGGCACAATCCCTGCCCCGCTCCAGCCTCCACCACTGCAGGGACTGAGTTTTCTCCCCCCGAAAATTCAATTTTCAAAGATGCTGCAGCAACGAATTTTTGGCTGCTGAAAACTTTGGGAAAAGCTGGATGCTTCTAAGGTGAGTGTCAGCAGAGGGATGTGAGGTTGGAGGATGAATTTAGATAACCTTTGGGCAGATGGTGAAAGTTTAACATCTATAACAGGAGTTCCTCGCCACCCAGCAATTCTAAATAAAGGAAAAATTTGTATTTTATAATTGCATATTTACCAGGCTGGAAAGGTTGAAGCGATTTATTTTAAGAACCTGAACAGAAAAAAAAATTAAAAAAATAAAAGAAGAGGGTTCTAACAGCATCCAAATAGCAAAATTCTTTTCCAAGTGGTGCCTGTTTGATTTTACAGAGGATAATATTAACTTGCATTCATCTGGTTTGTCTCCTGAAGGAAAAGAAGTGAAAAATTGGTGCCACTCTGAGCAAGTGATTTTGTCCACCAGCTCCATGTGGAGCTCACAGCCAGGCTGCTTTTCCCCACCAATAAATTGGGAAATATTCCTTCCACAGGGAAGAAAACTTGGAAACCTCAGGGGAAGGAGGGGACCCCTCCTGCTTGCGGCAGCAAAACTTTTCAAGCTTTATTAGAGAAATCCTAAAGAACTTTTATATTTGTCTGTGTGGCAGAAGTGCAGGGTTGAGGTTAGGGGGAAGTGCCAGCTCGTTCAGCACAGTGACAGGGGTTTTGTTCTTTGCCTTTAAAAATAGAATTAAAGTAGAACCCCAGCCCAGTAATGACTTCTCTGAAAGTTAAAACAACTCCCAGGCAGTTGTTTAGCCAGGCTGCCAGAATGGAAACAGCTTTTTGCAGGGTGGGGGGGGTGGCTGTGTGTTGGAATTCTGTTTGTATTCCAAAATTTTGCTGTTGGATGGTTTCCCACCCTGTTTTAGTGATGTACCTCCAGTGCTGCCTGTTAATCCAATTCCTGTTAACCTCAGTGCTGTGCAGTCACCAGAAATTCTGTGCAGCAAAGTGCTTGTGAGGAAGAACTACAGATCAGCTTTATTTTGGTTGGTTTGAAATTTCATTTTCTTTTATTTTGCTGATTTTCATGAGGCTCCCATGGGAGGGCAGGAATCTGTGGCTTTATATCAGAACAAAATCAAGAATCCACTCCCACCCTCCAAAGAGGGGCTTGGAGACAACGAAAGCTCCTGGCTAAAACCCAGAAATTCCACTTGCAGAAAGGTTTTTTTCTCTTTCCACTCCCCCTAAACGTGACCCCAAACCCTGTCAGTGCCAGCAGGAATCCCTGCCTGCTGCCACAAACCCGTAGATCCGAACTTGTGCTCATATTCCACACAAGCTTGTATCTATAGGTCTGGGGCTGGCTGGCAAGAGCACCCTGGGATGCTGCTGCACTTCAAATATTCTTCACTCCTCCCTTCTTTTTCCCCCTCCTCCCTCTTTTATTTTTATTTATTTTCATTTATTTTCATTTATTTTCATTTATTTTTATTAATTTTTATTAATTTTTATTAATTTTTATTAATTTTTATTATTTTTATTTATTTTATTAATTTTTATTAATTCTTATTTATTCTTATTTATTTATTATTTTTATTTTTATTTTTATTCTTTTATTTTATTTTAATTTATTTTTATTTTTATTTTTATTTTTATTTTTATTTTTATTTTTATTTTTATTTTCATTTTTATCTTTATTTTTATTTTTATATTTTTATTTTTATTTAGAGGAATATAAAAGTGGAGCTGCAAATCTCTCCCTCAGCTTTCAGTGCCCAAAAGGGGACTTTGCTTCGTGGTGCTGAGGAAAAGGGGATGGGGGGAGTTGATTTTGACATCAGGATGAAGAAATTCAATCCCACCCATGGCCTGCCCTGCTCTGGTGATGGGGCTGTGATAGGGAGCATTCTTGTGCTGATTCTGGAGCAGATTAAATAATTTCATTTATAGTTTCATTTCTTTTATGAAACAATTTCATTCGTTTCTATTTCATAAATGAAATAATTTCATTTATAATATTTGAAATATTTCATTTATGAAAATAAATTCATTTATTCCATTTGCCACATGGAGTTATTCTTCCCTTGCTCAGTCCAGGAATTTGTGAGAGGAGCAATCACTGCTCCTCCTTTATATCCAGGAACTTGGAACCACTTTATTATAGAACCCCATTCCTCCCAATTTCTTGGTGTTTGTGTCTTTTCAAATTGTTTTTAAGAGAAAAGAATCGTGCTGGAAAATCCAAAAGAAAGGATGGGACAGGCAAAAACCCATGGGAGCGGGCAGTGCAAAGGCTGCTGTGGAAAAGTAAAAAAAAAACAACTTTAAAGTTGGGAGAGTGGAACAATTATTTTGGAAGAAGTCATTTTTTAAAAACCCCAATGTACAGAGTCTATATGAAAATAATTAGGCTGTAAACTCAAAATAAAGTCTGACTATTTCTTTCCAGCAGCTTTCAGTGTTAATTCCACCAAAGATTTGCTCTGCATTTCCACTTTTAAATTTCTCTGGTTTGAACTTGGCTGCTTTGACACACGCTGCTGTAGGCCAAAAAAGGGATTTTTTTTTCCCCCTCTTTGCTGAATTTCCAGGGTTTTCTATGTGTTTTCTATTTATCATAGAAGTTGTATTAAACATTTATATTAAAACGAAGTCAGGGGAGTCCAACCACTTTTCTTTCTCCCTGTAAGCTGAAACTAGGATTAAAAAAAGCGGGAAAAAATTGGATTTTGGTGCCCTGTGTGATGCAAAGTTGGGTAGAAAAGCTGTTCCCGAATATTCCCCATATGTTTGGATGGGAAATCAAGGAACAAAAGCTGATGAGTCCTTTCCAGCAGAATCCTTGCCCCTGGACTGTTCTGTGGTGGGATTTACCCAGAACAGGCACCTGGAGCCAAGCTCTCCTTGGGGATTTTGAGGTTGCTCCATCCATGGTGGGGTGAGCAGGAGCTCACCATGGCAGCAGGAGGAGGGTGGGACAGTAAAAAATTGTTTTCCCAGAAGATTTAGGAATAATCTGGGCTGCTTTGAGGTTGGTTTTTTAAATGCTGTGAATGTTCATCACCTTGGGTTCCCACGTGCTGACTCCAGGGGAAGCCTGGGCTCGTTTAGTCTGAGCTTCAAGGGGAAATGAGCTGGGAAAACCCAATAAAATCCATATTTCTGTCGGGTGGTCCCTCCTCTGTGAAGCCATTTGGGGTAGAATGGGCTGAGAAAAGCCTGGAATTGGTCAAGGATGATCTGGAATGGTCAAGGATGGTCTGGATTGGTCAAGGATGGTCTGGAATTGGTCAAGGATGGTCTGGAATGGTCAAGGATGATCTGGATTGGTCAAGGATGTTCTGGAGTGGTCAAGGATGGTCTGGAGGGGTCAAGGGTGATCTGGAGTGGTCAAGGATGGTCTGGATTGGTCAAGGCTGTTCTGGATTGGTCAAGGATGGTCTGGAGTGGTCAAGGATGGTCTGGATTGGTCAAGGATGTTCTGGATTGGTCAAGGGTGGTCTGGAGTGGTCAAGAATGATCTGGAGTGGTCAAGGATGGTCTGGATTGGTCAAGGATGGTCTGGAGTAGTCAAGGATGGTCTGGAGTGGTCAAGGATGGTCTGGAGTGGTCGAGGATGTTCTGGATTGGTCAAGGGTGATCTGGATTGGTCAAGGATGGTCTGGAGTGGTCAAGGATGTTCTGGAGTGGTCAAGGATGATCTGGATTGGTCAAGGATGATCTGGAGTGGTCAAGGATGGTCTGGAATGGTCGAGGATGTTCTGGATGGGTCAAGGCTGTTCTGGCACTTCAGGTGGCTTTGCCTGGAGAGTGCCAAAGGACCCCTGGCAGGGGAATTGGGTCAGAGATGTCCCAAATTGAGCCCCCCCCCCCCCCGCTCCATTTGGCTTGATTTTTTTTTTTTTCATTAGGAAATCAATAATTGAACCACAAAAGAGGAAAGAAGAAACAGATTTCTTTTTTTCTTCTCTTTAGTGCAATTTCTCTCCGAATAAATTGGGACCTGCTAATCAATATCTGAATTTTATTTTTTTTTTTACCTCCTTTTGGTGAGAGGCTTGGTCTAAACACAGCTGGGTGCTTAGAAAGGAAACTCCAGAGAAGTGGCAGCAGAAGTGGGGTGAGCTGCTGGGAGCAGGAGCAGGGAGTTATTTCCGAGGCTGAGCGTGTTTGCTGATTGCTCCTGGCTTTTTTGGGGTGAGTTTGGGGTGTGCTGTGGCTCAGGGAAGGAGGGCACCTCTGGCAGCACCAGCAGCTCAGCTTTTCTGAGCTCAGCTTATCCAATAAAACCTGTTCTCGTTTAGTTTTAAAGTGCATTTCGTTTTAAGGTGCATTTCACATGTTTGCTGATTGCTCCTGGTTTTTTTGGGGTGAGTTTGGGGTTTGCTGTGGCTCAGCTTTGTGGGACAGGCTCAGGGAAGCCTTGTGCAGGGAGGATGGAAGGAACAGCAGCATCAGCTCAGCTTCTCTGAGCTCAGCCTATCCAATAAACCCAATAAAACCTGTGCTTACAAGGGTTTTTAAAAATTATTATTATTTCCCCCTTTAAAAATTACTATTCATTATATTCAATATATTAATGCATAATAACGAATATCATTCATGATTATGCATTATATAGAATATATTATATGTTATACATGACATAAAATTAATATTATGTATTATATCTCATATATTCTAATATATTGCTATGCTATACATTACATATATAATATTATATTACATATTATATATATTATATATGATAATATATTACATATTATATATTATATATAATATTATATTATCTATTATCTATTATCTTTTATATATAATCTATTATCTATTATATACTATATATATTATATAGTATATATTATACATTATACATTATAAATATTATACATTATATATATTATATGTTATATGTTATATATTATATATTAATTATATATTATATATTGTATAGTGTATAGTGTATATTATATATTATATATTATATATTATATATTATATATTATACATTATACATTA